TGTGTTCCTACTTCTTCTCTGGATCACCATGGGCGCAATTGCGAACAGGGGTCCAACACCGTGGAATTCCGCTTTGTGATTCTGCTTTCCCATCTGCTGTATCCACTTTGGCTTTTCATTCTTGGGCATCCAAATGTTTAGCACTTTGGACGTTGTAACCGCACAGAATCAGAAACTCAACAAAAAACACCGTCTTATGCAGTGCTATTGGCTATCTACTCCGAGCTTGTCGTCGCACCCCGACCGATGCGGTGCTTCATGCGGCCACCAGTGGTGGGTCGACTCATGTCGACTCACAGGAGCTCCACCAGGCATCCGCCGCCTTCCTCGCGGGTTTCCGGAGCCTCATCGATGAGAAGTGGCTCTCCATGCTCAGTGAGCATGAGCTACAGCAGGCGCGAAGCCAACGTGGCGCTTGGCGGGTATGTGTGTGAGATTGTGTGAGTGTGTGTGGTGGAGAGGGATAGTGGAGACAATTTTGAAATCAACGCAGGTCCAACATGGTCCAATCAATTTCTAAGGTGGACATTTTTTGGGGGTGGGAGATGTCCTCAACAGTTCTTGACACCTTGTGGTGTTGTCATGTTTGCGCTCACAAGACGCTACAGAAAGCCTTCGACTGGCAGCTGACGATAGCTGACGGGTCAAAGAAAATCAAGACATCCCACTAGCTGAGGCTCCTTGTCAGGACGTTTTTGGGGCCAGAATGGACTTAGCGGACTTGGTCGAACCTAGAGCAAACCACATGCGAGTAGAAGGCGCCATGTTCCACAACATGTTATGAGTAGACATGTATATAGGCAGATGCAAAAGCATATAAGGCACATTAAGGCACTTCGTCATTCTCAGACCACCTGGGCCGACGGATCTTCGACCTGACCAGGTCATCAGTGGCTCCAGCGGAGGGTCGTTGGATGTGGATGTCACTTGGCGACGTAGTTGGAATCTGCTGGAAATCTCCCTGGGTGCTGTCGCGCTTTTTGGAAAGACATGTGACATGTGGGACTTCAAGCATCGAATTATCCAGATGCGTCCGTCTTTCTTCTTTTCTTCTTTTCTTTGTTTCTTTCTTTCTTTCCTCGAAGCCGTGTTCATCCATTGCGGCCATTGCGCATCTCTTTTTTGCCAGTCTCCATCGGGCGTGCTTGCCTGTTGGGGCTCATTTCAATGCGCCACCAATGCGTCACTTGGCAGGACTTGCAGCGTCACACGGAGCTCTCCAACTGCAGCGGTCACCGAGATCGCATGGTGTTGCTTGGCGGGAATCGACCCGCGGCGTTTCAGGGGCCCTGCATGCAGCAGGTCATTGGTGTTCTTCCATTGAGTCAAGGAATGTCAACCTGCAGCCTGCAACCAAGCCATTCAGAGGCGATGGAGCCGAATCATAGGATGGAAGTGATGGACTGAATTGAAGATGTTTAAAGTATTTTTTTTTGGTGCTAGTTGCTTCACCCTGTTTGGCTACCACGCATGCCGGGCAGAACACTCTCCTCCAGCCCCTGAGGACTCAGACTGGTAATTCGACGGGATGGAAGGTTTCACCGTCTCGTTTAGTGCTATGGACAAAACAGCTATTTTTGGGTCTCCTTTTTTCCGTGCTAAAGTTGGAAGTAGCACACCGTGCGCCCATTTTGATGGTCCCAGGAAGGATTTCTTCACAGCCCTGCGTGCCATGAAGCCAGAGCATCAAGTGCCTTGGGGTAAAAATGGCGAATGGATGCCAATGGGAAGTTCTCATGTTTTGGTGCAGCAGGATGGGTTCAACACTCGCAGCAGCTACAGTATGAGTATGTGTCCTAGTGAAGTGAGTTGGGAGTGTGTGGGCCTTCAGCAGCTGCCGTGATTGGCAGAATGTCCTTTGTGGTGAAGAAATAGTCTTTTTTGGAACATATCATTATATATATATATATATTATATATATATATATATGAATAGGAGCTTCCAGAGGTTTGACTGTTTGGTGATCCGGGCAGACGGGTTTGATCTCAAACATCATGATGACCGCGTTGACCTTGACAGCGCGGCAGGGCAGGCAATTGATCTGTTGATATTTGTAGTGTTCATTCTACCATATCAAACCTCAAGATGAGAGAGAATCTTAAACCTCCGTAGTTTCCACGTGGTGCTGAAGTGGTTTCATTCGGATGCCATTTTACCAGGTCTTTGGAGCAACTTCTGAGGCAGAGTTGACCAGCACAAATCCCTTGACATCCGTGGATGTTCCTGTAGGTTGACATGGGTAGGATGGGTGGTTCCTGTTGTCCCATGCTCTCGGTTCAATAAGCAGCTGCTTGGGGTGTCAGTAAGAAGTTCCTCAATGTATATTTGCCGGTGCTACCTCGACTCAGGGCGCAGCCCCCTCGTTCTGCAATGAGCTGATGTTTGACACAGTCACATCAATCTGTATCTCATGCTCCAACCACCTTGCACGCACGCGCGCACGCACCCTTCGCCAAAAACAACGCACCCTGCGCACGCACCGCACCGACGGCCACGAGGTGAAACTCTTGCGTTTCGTGACCTCGTGTTCTCGTGCGCCCTTGCTGGGTTTTTCACATCTCCAGCCGCCCTTCACGCTGCACAAGGTGGGAATCGACTAGAGTCGAGGTTCACGGGAAATCACAGTGAGATTGTTGGAATTGTTGGAGGGAAGTGTTGATGTTGAACGAGTGGATGGAAGACAGGGCCCGAAGGAACATCCTTGCTGCTACCTATCTAGTTTTATGTTTGTGGACAAATTTCAGCGTGAATGAACTGGTCATTGTTGTCCATCCGCAACGTGGCCAGTCCCTTGGCAAAGTTGCTGTGGCAAGCGGTTCAATCAATTCATGTCTGAGAAAATGCGAATGCAAAAGGCCACTCACTGACCTCAGGCTGGTTGAACAATGCATGCTAATGCTATACCCTGTGCTGCTTCCACATGGATGCGGACTTAACATTGATTTGAGTGATGCAAGAGGAGCTTTCACAGATCTGATGTCTCATGCAGACCTCTCGATTGGGTTAAGCATTAAACTAAACCCTTGTGCACTGCGCAGGTGCACATCCGCAGCGACTCGGAAAAGTTGCCGACGGCCTCAACGTGACACCTGGCCGCAGAGTGCAGAAACCATGGGTCCAGCTGCCTTTATAGGGTTGGAATTTGCTGCTTTGCATGCGGGGGTATGGGAGTAGCATGGGGTAGTTCCAAATCCTGACAGAGCTATCAATCAAGGTGAACTATGGTTAACTACGCATACTTGCTTGCATGATGTCCATTGAGGAAGAAGCATTTAGTTTGATTTCCTTCACTAGTCACTAGAACCTATAAATACCTATAACATGCATAATATGACATAATTATGTATCATGACAGGATGATGTGAATTAGAGCCGGATTGACTCATGGGACAGAGGTCCATGCTCGAAGTGGTTCTTGATGGCTGATGGAAGCAACTGAACCAAGTTATACAATTGAATTGGCGTTTGGCGTTTCTGAAAGGATTGTGTGTTTGCTGTATCCCCTGCACACATGCAGACATACACCCTTCTTGATAGACGCTCTTCAAGGGCAAATGCAGCAAGTGCACCCATTTTGAACAGCCTGTTTGAGGTTTCAATACCTTGAAGCTGCCGACATATTCCTCGCCGCTCTCTTAGCATGATTGAACTTGTGCGATTGTTCCAAGTCCTTTTTGCGCTAGTTAACATTTTGTACATAGGTAGTTATATAGGGTTGTTTGCTGGGGATCTTCCTAGAGAACTTATCGAGTTGAGGCGCCATCCATCCCACCGAGCTGGCTTCATTGCGATGTTGATCTTGAGAAACTGATGTTTGAAGAAACCGATCGGATGTCTTTAAACCTGAGACCTACAGGGAGCAGCCAAACATGAACACATTACATAGTTTTTTTGACAATTCGAGCAATTCCCGAAGAACAAGTTCATCTGATATTTTTCCGGCCGACCGATGGGTGGGAGTCCAAGGTGGAAAGTCATGAAGGAGAAATTGGAGTTTGTGATTGTTCAGGCCGGACATTTCAACACAGCCGCCCTTGCTTTGCCTGGCTGAGGAGGAAGCAAAGGGGACGAACAACATGTTTTCAACAGCTTGGTCCAAACAACACTAGAGGGATCAGTGTCCAAGCCCTTTGCTTGGTTTGTTTGTTGAACTTTGGCGCAACCATGTACCAGGACCATCCAGAGGTTTCCCCATGGAAGCTCACAAATAGTCCAGGTTAGTCCATTTTGGATGGTCCAGATATGTCCAGATAAGTCACTGTCCTTTCAAGTGATTGGTCATTTTTTAATGGATCTCCCAGCCGTACTTCAGGATGCCGGCTTCGAGTTGGATTGAGCCAGCTGAGACCTGGGTCCGCGCTCCTGCGCTCCTGCGCTGCGAGCGCGTGCGTTCCTGTGCTTTGTAGCCCATGACGAGGACAGCCTCGCTGTACATAGTCAGCTCGCCAAAGAGTGGGCTTAGCTGGTCCGCCCAGCACCAGAGGCTTTGAGGGGAAATCCATGGTCCGGACGTGGAGCAGGACACTGTGAAATGACGGGGGGCATTTTGGTCATGAGCTTCATGTTGGGTGATTGGAGAGGTTGGGAGGCACGCTTCCAGCTGCTTAGTGAAGATCATACTGTTTGGTGCTCATCCAAGCCCGGTGCAACTTGGGGGGCCCAGCCGGACCGCGTTTCACGCTTAAGAAAAGGCAGTTGTGGATCATGCTACACGAAAGGATAGGATGAGTCCAGGGGTCGACGCCCTTAGCCTAAACATGAGGCTAACCTTGATCATATATGATCATATCATATCAAGCATGGAGTAACTTCCGCCGCCGTCATTGTAAGTGCCGTACAAAAAGAACGAAAGAATGCCACAAACAAACCTGCAATATCTACATGCACTCCCTAACAAACATGAAAGTGGAGCTTGAGGAAAGGAGTCTAGAGGTCCCTGTTCTGCTTCCATACAGGGAAGAACTGGAAGAACCATGTAGACCTGCAGCGCTGTGTCTGAGGTCTTGGTGGCTGCCCTCGAATTGGCGGGCGTTGCGCAGGAGGCCGGACAACGGAGGAGGCACAATGAGGCTCAGCATTTCAGTGGGTCGGCTTCTGATGGTTTCAAGGGAAGTGAGCTCCAGAAGTCCTGGCAGAAAGGAGACACTACAATCACTGCAAGAGATTAAGACCCAGGTGTCTCTGTGAGACACGGCCGCTAAGCCCGAAACGTGGCAAGGCCACGGTTGTTCTAAAATGTGTTTAAAAGATTCCTTAATCCACTTAGTCATGATTTGTTGGCTGTTTTCACTAGACCAACAGTTCGGTTCGCGACCTTTCCTTCCCTGAGCACCATCCTTCCGTGTGGTTCAGGAAGATGCAGCCACCTACCGCGCAGCCTACGAGGAGGCCAAGGAAGCAGGCCCAGGGTGGATCCTCCACTGAAGAAGCCTTTTGTGCACGCTGACCTTGGTGAAACAACGGTGTTTGCTTCTTTGTCTCTTAGATAGGCCCAAAAAATCCTTGCTATTCCCCACACCTTTGTTCTTGTCTTCAACCCACCTACAAGAAAGCAAGTTTAACTGGCAACTGGTGTAACAGATGTGATTGTGAAGAAAAGAAGTGACCCCCGCAACCAATTGCCGAGACCAGAGGGACCATACTCCCAGGCCCCGTGCCTTCGGACGACCGACGAAGTGGGTCAGTGCAGCTTCCCAGGCGTCGATGAGAGGAAGCTGTCCGAGGCAGAGGACCGGGACCGGCCGAAGACGTCCACGGAGCTTAGCCGCGGCAATGGTATGTTAGGTGTTTTCAAGTGGGCTTGGTGCTTTCAAGTGATGGTGGGTTGATTAGGTTTAGTTTGTTGTCATGGTGTGCCTAGGTTTGGCAGCAGGAAAATCATACGCAAATTAAATGCTGACAGCTAAGCCGCCAGGGTCAAACGCTGCATATTGCGGTTCAAAATGCAATGCCTGTTCAGTGGGAAGTGTGGCACCCAATGAAACAAACACAATCACACACTTAGATAATAGGTTTGCAGTTACATCTTTTCCCCGACGAAAAGAGTGGCTCAACGGAAAGGTGAAGCGTCCAAATACTTGAAGGTGTTTCAACAAATGGTTTGTGCACATTTGCAGCTCACGAAACGGTGGTTTAAACAGTCATTAAAAAAAGCAGGTACGTTTACACGGGTCCCAGAGGTCTTCGTTGGCCACCGCTCCTCTGGGACCCCGGTGGCCCCCCTGCTTGCAGAAAACTCTTAGAACTTTGCGGCGCTCTCGCACAAAACCTGAATAGGCACCTAAAAAGCCTTAGAAGCGAGAGAACGAAAGCAGAAAAAACAGCGCTAAAAGGGCAGGAGAGAAAGATAGGGGTAGCAAAAAGTGACTACTTAGCCCTTGACTGGGGTAGGGAAATGAGGCTAAAGAACCACCTAAAAAAAAAGCCGCTTACCTCAACTGGTTTGATGTTGCATTATTGAAGACGCTCAGGGTGAGAGCGGTCCCGTGGCCTGATGATGTTCGGGTAGGGTTTAGCGTCAGCTGCTTAGGCTTGTGGGGCCTGTAGGTCCTCTAACCTGGGTCTTGTTGGGTTCCCTCTGATTGGGTTGCTTAAACCCTGGGGTCATGTTGACCTGGTGTTAGTTAGCCGCAGTGTGCTCAGATGTGAGGTGAGCTGTTTGTCAGTTCATGGCACTGCGGTTGATTGGTTTTTGACGAGAAGCGTCCAGTCAGTTCCGGATCAGAGGATTCTGAGCCCAAGCGCAGGAAACCAGACAAGCCTGACAAGTCGAAGCGCGCTGCAGTGCCCAAAGCTCTGAAAGGCCTATCGGCGCGCAACAAGAAAGGCGTTCCATATTGCTTCAATTTCAATTTGGCCCATGGTTGCACCGGAAAAGCTAGTGGCACACCTTTGCGCTGCTCTCGAGGACTCCATACGTGCATGAAGTGTGGGCGCGAGCATGGCCAACACGAATGCCGCGACTGACTATCAGCTGGTGGTGCTCTATGCCTTGAGATCTCTGCAGGCGATCCAAGTATCGCGCCGCATTTGCGACAGCGTGGTTTGGCAGTTCTACATTTGAAGCACAATTTGCAAGCGCCTTTGCAGCGGGAGCTCTTGCAGGAGCTTTTGGACTCCGATTCAATTTTTTGTGCAACTTTCAGATTGCTACCTGATTTTGATTTGCGCAATGGTGTTTGGATTGGGTTCTGGCGCAATGTGTTGAGCTGCATGAAAGAAACTGCTTGTGGTGCATCTGCGGGAACTCAGATCACAGTTTTTGGCAACGAATTGAAGAATTTTGGTGCAATTCTGAACGAAATTATTGGAAGGTGACTGTAGACTTGTGTGAATATGGTATGCGCTCCTGCTCTTCTTTCACGATACTGTGCAATACGTCAGCGTTCTGCGCATTGCAGCGCCTTTGTTCACATGACCACAGGGTAAGCCCCAGCAACATGGAGCAACAGTTACCCGCCGCTTTTTGCAAACACTGGTCTCACTTATTCGAAGATTTGGTTTCTGGCTCTGGTTGGTCCGGGGTTGACCCCAGTGTACCTGATTTGCAAAACCGCGCAAGTTTGGGTTGGCAACCACGTGGGTGCAAATTACCACCACTTTTGACTGACTTTCTTGAACCTCAGGCGTACGACGTTGCAGAACATCCGGATCTCGCTGACATTTTACCTGGGTGCCGCATTCCTGACGGTCTGGGTTTTCCAAAAGGATCGAGGGTCTTGCGTGGTGCTGGTCAAAATGGTTTTGCGATGGTGGGCTTGCCTCGCGAACCCTTAGCTTTTTTGAGCGCAGCGAGTGAATTAGTACACCCAGTGGAGCGGGCCGGCCGAGTGAGCTCTGCCGTAGCAGCTGCAGTGGCTTCGCATCGAGAGCTGACACCTCTAGATTTGCTCAAAGCACGGCAGCAGTTTTTCCGCCAGGCTTTGGAGACTATCAAAAACTTGAGTGCGCGCGAGGCACATCTGCATGAGAACATGCCATCGCACCTCGCCAAAGTTATGCGGGGCAAGCGCTTATTGTTTTTGGATAAGCTGTTGACAGACATTGGCCATCCAGACGACACTTTGTTTGACAACCTATCCAAAGGTTTCCCCTTGTTTGGTTGGTTGACAAAAACCGGGCTTTTCCCTGAAAGTTGGTGTCCTCCTGCCCTTCATCCTAGTGAACTGTTACGTGTTGCGCGGAAGCAAAATCACTGGATATTGAATTCCTCTCAGCGCAGCTCACATCAGCTGGAGATCGATGAAGCGGTGTGGCGCACCACAATGGACGAGGTCAACAAGGGTTGGGCCGAGGGCCCCTTTTCTCTCGTGGAAGCCGAAGGCATAACAACAAGTCAGCTCATCGTCTCAAGACGCTTTGGCGTGGCGCAAAAGACAAAGGTTCGCGCAATTGATGATTTCTCTGCTAGTAACATCAATGCGTGCACTGGCGCCAAAGAGAAAGTCCGGGTTGAAAGTGTCGACGCAGCCGCCACCATGATCCGCACTTGGATGAAAGCTTTTGAAGGCACTGGCCGCGCCCTAGTTGGCCGAACCTATGACCTGAAGTCAGCTTATCGCCAACTGGGCATCAGCGCCGAACACTTGCATGCTGCTTGGATTTCTGTATTTGATCCATCCAGCCAGGGCGCAAAACTTTTTCGCCTCAATGCCTTGCCTTTTGGGGCGTCAGCGTCTGTCTCCAACTTTTTGCGTTGCGCAGAAGCCTTGAAAGCCGTTGGGGCCAAGCTGCTGAATTTTGCGTGATTTTTCGACGACTTCATTTTGGTCACCCCCGCTGACATGGCGCCCGAGACAGACAAAGCGGTCAAGCTTTGCTTCAAATTGTTGGGGTGGACTCTCGCATCAGCTGACGAGAAGTGCAAACCTTTCTCCACGACTTTCACTGCGCTTGGTGTGGTTTTTGACTTGACCGAAGCTCCGGCAGGCATTCTGCGCATATCGAACACTGCCTCCCGGAAACTGGAGCTATCCGGTGTCATTGATGACGTACTGGAATCCAAGCGGCTCAGTGCCAAGGCAGCATCTTCATTGCGGTCGCGGCTGAATTTTGCGGATGCTCAAATTTTTGGCCGCTACGCCAAGAAGGCCTTGCAGCTATTGGGCGAGCATGCAGCATGTCCTTCTTCTGACGTTGTAGATGGGGGTTTGCTTTTGGCTCTGAAGTGGCTAAAAGAAAGGGTACTGCAAGGAAGCCCCAAAGTGGTGTCCATTCAAAGGCGCCCAACCTGGCTGCTTTTCTTGGACGGAGCGTGTGAAGGCGAGGGAAGGTGCCTCTCTCAGCTGCTCCATTGGAGCAGTCTTGGTACATAAAGATCTTGGTGCCAGAGCATGTTTTGGAGAAACACTGCCCGCCGGCATTGTTGACATGTGGCATAGTCGAGGAGCCTCACAGCTCATTTTCGAAGCCGAGCTTATGCCGTACCTGGTGGCACTGAGATCGTGGGCAGATCTCCTGAGAGGGGCCCAGGTTTTAATATTCATTGACAATGATGCGGCGAGGCATGCCTGGATTACGGCTGGAGCCAAATCACCCTATGCTTCTACAATGATTCATGAGGCTTTGACATTGGAAGCCTCCTTAGATGTTGCTTCATACTTTTGTCGCGTGCCTAGTCACTCGAACCTGGCCGATGATCCTTCCAGATTAGTGTTCACGACGTGTGAACGTTTGGGGGCTCACAGGCATCGGATTGACGAGCATTTCCTCTTTGAATGTGCTGGCGCATGCTGATGTAGAGGGGGGGTGTTTATGGTCCCCATCATGTTAGGCATGCTTGGGCCATG